TTTTTTTTTTTTAGGTTTTTGCTATAGGACACGTGTACTCACCGGAGAGCGAGAGAAAGAGACAGACAGACAGACATAGACAAAGTGGGGAAGAATGAGAAATCAACTTCGGGGGGGATGGGCATACCACAATCCCTTCTCCCTTTGGGGTTTTGGGCATGCACACACATGTGCCCAGGGCAATTTTCAAGCTGCCAGGTCCGGGACTTAAACCGCAAAGTTACTCACGTGGGATTCAGCCACCTTAACCTCCAACTCACCAGTTTTTGCTTTTTTTTTTTTTAAACCACAGGCTACTATGCTTTAGTGGGTTATAAAAAAAAATTAAGTGGTCTGTGACCAGAACTTACTTATTTATTTATTTTTTAAAGAGAGATTTTTGCTGTAGGGCACGTGCACTCACTGGAGAGACAAACAGCAAGTGAGAAATCATCCCCAAGGGTAGATGGCTACACAGCAATCCCTTCTCCTCCATTCTCCCCTCGGGATCTTGGGCATGTATGCGCACACACCCAGCATGAGTTTTAAGCCGCCAGGTCTGAGCTTGAATCACGCACAGTCAACTACATTGGAGTCTAGTGACATAACCGTTATGCCATCCGCTGATCCTGTGACCAGAAATTTTTAAAAATGAAACAAATAGGATAAAATAACAAAACAGGGTAAGGTTAAGGCACATATTAATAGTGTTGCTTTCTAAACTCATTCTGCATATATTTTGGGTGGTGAATTTACTTTTGCTGTGGACTGAGAATCCCTGCCTTAGGTAATAATACTACTGCTATTTAACATGACTGAGGAAGCCATCTCTCTCTCCAGAATCCCTCCCATATTGTCACCTTGGTACCCAGATTTATTAATCGCCTGTAACTGTGGGCCAAATTGAATAAATCATCTGACCTCGAGGAAATCTCAAGGCAATCCAGGAAACTATTATGGGTCCTAGTGAAAGAATAATTCACTCTTCTGTTTCCCGCCCAGGAGCAATAAATACTAGACACCTACAGTATCCGTAGTGTGCTCTGAGGTTATTTCCAGAACGGGTAGACTGTCAACATTAAACACCTTTGACCTGAATCACTGAATGAATACAAACATAAGCTGCCTTCCCTAGGTCTTTTCCTAACAACGGCATTACAATATTTTAAGGGCAAAATGACATATGCATATAAACTTAGGTTTAAAGGATATCAGGAAAGAGTAAGATGAACCAAGTCATAAATATCCAAAAAATAGAACTTAGCAAAAAGGCTGTTGGTAAGTACGCAAGGTTCTTATACCCGACCAAGAACCTAAAAGAAAGAAGATAAACAAAGGATTAGTGAAATAAGGTATTAGTATGATTTGTATTCATTTTAGTTCTATTCTTCTAATAATGATAGTAATAATAATAGCAGCAGCTATGGTTTTCACTTACTGTGTGCTTATTTGTGTCACCTTCCATGGGGTACTAACATAGTTATACGTCATCATCACCCCATTTTACACATGAGGAAACTGGAGTACAAAGACTCTACTCTCAAGAAGTTTATGTTTTAGGGACCAGCAGTTAGCGTAATGGCTATGTTGCTGGACTCCCATGTAGTTGCATGCCCAAAGATCCCGAGAGGAGAATGGAGGAGAAGGGATTATGGTGTGGCCATCCCCCCTGGGGGGTAATTTCTCACTTTCTGTCTCTCTCTGTCTTTCTGGCGCACGCACCCTATAGCAAAAACCTCTTAAAAAAAAAAAAAAGAAGCTTATGTTTTAGTTCTTAGACACTTCTTCATAGAGTTATGCATCATTTTGTTCAGAATAACATGTAATTTTAATGAATGTTTTGTATTTCTATGGAAATATATTTGTGTTTCTTTTTTAGGATGCTTTATCTTTAAATATTCCAAAATGCAAAAGTTTAAGTACTTGGAGCTTCACCTTCACACCTAACAAGCATTCTTCCAGAGGCTACTAGTCTACTTGGCACAGACAAACGCATGTAGCCTTAAGCACTCGCATTCTGCAACCAGCTTGAGAAGCAGACGCTCGGCATGAAAAGATACATCATATGAGCTAGTCACCAGAATACTAGCCATGTCACTAGTAATGAGCTACCAGAAGTTCATGCATAACTTACTCAAATTACTTAATACTGTAAAAATCACTTTCATACGGAATACTCAACACAGTCATCCTATGCATGAATATAGTGGGGGTTTTGTTTGTTTTTAAGGTTCTACCATAAGGCATGTGTACGTGCCAGAGAGAGATTCAGACAGAGAGGGAGGGAAAGTGAGAAATCACCTCCAAGGTAAATGGCCATGGCACAATCCCTTCTCCTCCATTCTCCTCGCAGGATTTTGGGCATGCATATACATGCACTCAGTATGACTTTCAAGCCTCTGGGTCCAGGACTAGAAGCGTGGTCAGTCATGTGGGAGTCCAGGGCCTTGACCACCATGCCACCTGCTGGCCCCTGAATAAATATAGTTTACCAGGATATATTTTAAAATTTAACCCAAGGAAAAAAAGTGACTGATACTAGTTAAAAAGGATTTTAAAAAAAAGCCATCAGGCTGACAGCCATAATTATGATAAAATCATATTAGAAAAGAATTCTCTCTTTATTGGATCTTAAACCTCAGGCATCCAATACAATGCCAGAATAAGCCAAATGGATCCCATGTAACTCCAAGGTATGGCCTATTAAAGACTAAGTGGCAAAAAAATGCATTTGGCCTAATTTAGGTAGTGCAGTGAACTACCTAAATTGTAAGAGCCTGCTACTATCACCTGTCTACCTTTGGCAGGGGCCACATAACAGCCTGGACCGACCTTCAAGTGCCCCTGTAATAACAGAGCTTGGCAGTGGCTTACCTCCGTGAAAGGGACCCTGCAGAGGCGTACGAGAGAATAAAAGCAGTACAAAATGCCACATGCATTTGAACTGTGCCCCAATGCCAAGTGGAGCATATGAAGCCCCCGACTCACTGTCATCCAAAACAGAAGTTTTCACATGGATTTTTAATAATGTGCGTTTCAACTAGACCAACCAAACAAACAAAAATCAAAAATGTTCCTCTCCTACGTAAGGAGATATTGCCAGCCTTTGCCTCACCTCTGGGGAAAAAGTGATGGCTATGATTCCTGGTGATTTGATTTAAAATTTATATAGAGTTGGAGTCAATCCAATTAGTGCAAAATGAGTGAACATTACAAATTTTCAGAAAAACAGACAATTTTAGGTATTTCGCTATTTTTCAGAAATCTGAACCTGTCCTTTCATTTACATATTAAATTCATTTCCACCCAACTGTCCTGCTCTTTGATGAGCAAGCAGTAAGATTTGTCTAGAACTTTGTTTTCTCTCATCATGAAAGTGTTCATGCATATGCCAGGAATGCTGGCAAGCAAAAGAAGAACATAGGAACACTCACGATCATATTTCAGAGAGTGCAATGCTACACTTCTTTCGGAATCCTTTTCTAGGAATCATCATCATTACAGTTTCTTTCACTCAGTAAAGAAAAATGTTCAACAGCAGAGAGAAGCTTCCTTTTAAGGGTTTTACACTGTAGGAAAATGACTGTGCTATGATGAAAATAAAACAGCGCGGTGCAACAGAATTCCTCAGGGATGGCCTCACTAAGGAGGTGATGTCTGAACTGAGGACCAGTGACACCAGCAGCTGTGCAAAGGGATGGTGTCAGGACACGTCACACAGCGATGTAAGCAAGAGCCCAGGCATGGGTAGGAAAGAGCTTGATGTGTTCCAGGAACGAGAAGAAAGCAGAGGACGGTGCAAGCAGGGAGGGGAAGCACGGGAAGAGGTGAGGTCAGCAGGGAGGGAATAAACCACACAGCGCCTCACAGGCAGAGTCTGGGTTTCACTCCGGGTACTAGAGGGCTCTGAGAGGAAGAGACGGTGGAAACCGATCTGCCTGTTAGAAAGACCAGCTTGATTGCTAAGTGGGGGTGGCTGCAGGGGATGAGAGATGGAGGCAGGAGGCCATTTAGGAGGCTTGCTCTGAAATGACAGAGTGGAGATGACGACAAGCAAACCACTGGGAACAGGCTGGATGTGGGAAGCGAGGAAAAGGGAAGAATCAAGGATGACAGTAACCTAAGGTGGCCCCTACAATCACGTGAGGAACTGGATGCCATCTTACTAAGAAAGGGAAGAGAGACGAGGAGACTGGGGTGCAACATGCTTAATAAGTGCTATTCTTCTAAGTGTTGATGTGCATTAACCACGAAGTAACCGTCATCACAAAATCAGCCTCATTTCATAAATGAAGACTTGAGGCGCAGAGAGGTAAAGCACCCCTTCCAGGTCAGACTGCTGCGGGGAAATGAGTGACTTGAATCCAGGCGGTCTGACTCTTAGCCGTGAACTAGATGTAATCGTGCATAAGGACACTCCTAAAACGAGAGTCACAGCAAGTCACTATTTTATAACCTCCTAAATGAGTTTAACATTAATTCAGATTGGGAAAAGAAAATAAGCAAAGTTTCTGAAACATGAGGAAATGATACCTCAAGATGCAAAATGGTTACAAAAGTTTCCCTTTATTCACCAAAACTAATTCAAAAGCTGACCTGGGCTGTTTACTTCCCAACCATTTTCTGTTCAATCAAATTACTGGGCTGAACAATCAGCTTTCAGCCACATGGTACGCTCCCAAAGCTCCTTCCACCACGTTGAGGATGTGGCTAAGTAGTAACATTTACAGCTCCAGAAAAATCTGTGATTCCAGCTGATCAGCAACAGAAATAAGCAAATCAATTGGAAATGTAATGAGCAGCCCGGTAAAAATTAATATACTCACCTTGGAAACAAAGATGTCAGGAAAAACAATGTCATTAGAAGACATCCTTTCAGAAGCCAAGAATCTGAATCAAAGTCCAGGATATATCCGACCGCCCACATGGTGATCACACACAGTATCAGCAGCAGGAAGAGCTTTGAGAGAGTCAGAATTTCAAAACTGTATGGGATTTCACCTGAGCATCTAACAATAGTTCATTCAAGGTAAGAAATACTTCCTAAGTATACAATAACATTTAATACATTTAATAGAGAATAGAGAATTTTTTTAAATTGTTCATTAATACATTTGAGGTTTGAAAAATCACACACCTTAGAAACAATCTTTTAAAGCCCTATATTTTATAAAATGTTAAACATATTTTGTATTGTTTCTCCTCTAAGAAATGGGTATTTTCTTTTTAGAAAGTTGAAACTTTAAAATAACTTTTCAATAGTATTTTATACCAGAAAGCAGAAAGGAAGCTAAAGAGATGACACAAAAATCAATATACCCAAGACCAGCAGTTGGCGTAATGGCTATGTCGCTGGACTCCCATGTAGCCGACCGTGGTTCAAGTCCTGGACCCAGTGGCTTAAACTCACGCCGGGTGCGTGCCCAAGATCCTGAGAGGAAAATGGGGGAGAAGGGATTGTGGCATGGCCATCCCCCCAGAGTGATTTCTCACTTTCTGTCTCTCTCTCTGTCTTTCTGGCAAGCGCATGTCCTATAGCGAAAACCTCTCCAAAAAAATAAAATCAATATACCCAAAACTCAAGGGGAGTCTTGAGAGCTCCACTGCAGCATCGCATGGTGACACCCCCTAATAAAGTTAGAAGAAACAAGTCTGCAGAAAAGCTTCATTTGGGACTTGAAGGAGTTTAAATGCCTAGGGACGTCTAGGAGCTACCTGGGAGGCAGTTATAAAAAGCAAGTCTATCGGGACCAGAAGTTAGCATAATGGCTATGTCGCTGGACTCCCATGTAGTCAACTGCAGTTTGAGTCCCAGACCCGGTGGCTTAAACTCATGTCGGGCACATGTGCATGCGTGCCCAAGATCCCGAGAGGAGAATGGAGGAGAATGGATTGCGGCATGGCCATCCCCCCTGGGGGTGATTTCTTGCTTTCTGTCTCTCTGTCTCTGTCTGTCTGGTGAGCACACGCACCCTATAGCAAAAACCTCTCCAAAAAAAAAAAAAGAAAAAAAAAAGGCAAGTTTATCATTCCTAAAGAGTTGAAATTTATCAGTACATAGGTGGTAAAGTCCTAAGCAACAACATCCCCAAAACCACATGCAGGTAAAAGGGGCAGAAACTTTGGCCAATGAAAACACGTAAGAGGAGAAAAGGCAAGTTCCCAAAGATAACCAAGACTGACCAGAAAGGCAGGATGAGAATCTGGAGGGAGCAAAAAAGGTTTCAGAATAACCAGGGAAGAAAGTTTCAAAAAGGGAGTAGTTATCTGTGTCAAATGTCACATGGAGATCAAAGACTAAAATACATCCTCAGGATGATAATGAATTCAGGGTTTTTTTGGCAAAGTTAAAAGAAACTTCTGTGAACCAACACTTTGCCTAGAAGCAGGGCTCCATATTTGCGTAATGCAGTCCTTTTATATATATCTTTTTATATATAGTCCTTTTATATGTGTGCGTGTGTATAAATATATAAAATCATTTTTTTAACACTTATTTCTGTCTGTCATAAGTCAGGATCTCAACCCAAGGTCAGCCATGTGGCTTCCAGCACTACAGATCCATATACTACTATCTGCTCCAAAGGGCCTCAACAAATATTTGAGGGCATTCTATATTCAAGGCACTATGTTCCAGGCGTTTGGGACACACCAATGAATATAAGTTCTTTTATTCATGGAGCTTAAATTCCAGATGGGGAAGATGGACTAATGTATTGAGTATCCTGTCTATAAAAAGCTAGATCACGCAGAGCCTTGTAGGCCATAGCAAGGACATTATTTTTGTGCTAGGAGACACAAGGAGACTTCATGGAGTTTGAGCAGATAAGGGACAGGATCTGACTTACATTTTAAAAGGCTTATCTGCTGGACCAACATGGCACTGGTGAAATGGTGAGAAGGGGTCAGATGTAACTGAAGGCAAAATGAGCCAATGTGTCTTTCTAACAGACTGGATGGATGTGTGATAGGACAGAGAACAGGCAACCCATGACTAGGAAGCTGGAGTTGCCACCTACTGGGATGGAGAAGGCTCAATTAGGGTGGGAAAGGGAGATCAGTTCAGTTTTTGTTTCGTTTTACTGACAGAGGGTGCATATGCTTGCTGAAGACAGACAGGCAGGCAGAGAGAGAGAGAGAAAGCACCCTCCAATGGGATGGGGTCATGCTGCAATCCTTTTCCTCCGTATCTCCATCCTGTCAGGATTTGGGGCGCACACACACAAAGTCCAGCATGTCTTCCAAGCCAGCCAGACTGGGATTTGATCTGACTTCCTACACACTGCATTAAACCATTATGCTTCGGACTGGCCCCAGGAGTCAGTTTTTCATGCCAGTTGGAGATGCCTACTGACCTCTGAACTATTGACAAGTCATGGAAGGTCAGGGAAGGTCTAGCCTAGAAAGAAATCTGGGAGTGGTCAACATATGTTGGGCTGTCAGAAAAGTCATGACATATTTTTGCAGAGAAAAACAAGTCATGACTTTTCCAACAACCCAAGAGATGGCATTTAAGAAACAGAAAAATGTTCAAGAACAAAATCCTGGGACATCCCACCAATAAGTAGAAGAGAATCAATAATAAATATCCAATGAAAACGTCAAATTTCCACCTTTGGGTTGTGGGATGCATGGGCAAGATATAATAAGCAGATATAAAACAATACCAAGCCAACTCTCAGTTTTCCCCTGCTGCCCTAAAAAACATAAATGAATTAAAAAGTTCTTACGCCCCATAGATTAAATCTCTTATGAAAATACCTCGCATTTCTGTAGCCACCTCCAAAGTATGAACTTTTGGTTGGTTCTCATTTTGGCTTCTGTTCTTAGCATGTGAACAATGAGCTGATTTTTGTTTTGTAGAGCTAGATCAAGAGGTGTTTCTCCCTTAAGAAAAAAAGAAAAAAAAAAGTAAACTATTTTTGCTATATTATGGGTGCTAAACTTTTTTTTTAAATGTAGTAGAATTATTCACATTTATTCCAAGGTACTTAACATATTTACTCCAAAGGTAGCCAGCTATTCTTGTGTACATCTATCTTATGGTAACTGAAAACAGACATTCGCCATATCCTTGTATTAACGTACTAGTCTTCTAAATGAAGATGTAATAAACTAAGAAGATGAATACCTGCTCATACCTTTCCATTTCGGATATCCAGGCTGGAGCCAGCTTCCAAAAGTTTATCAACTGCATTGACATTTCCTGCCACAACTGCCCAGTGAAGTGGAGTATTTTGGTGTATTTTATCAACCACATTGAGGGAAGGATTAAACTTTAAAAGAAATCCAGTTGGTTCTGGCCTGTCTCAAAACAGTAAAATACCAAAGGGCATTAACAGAAATGATGATTTGAAGAATACGCACTAATAATCTTCTAAGCTAGCATATCAATTAACCAACAGTAAGTACTTGGAACAACTGGGGAACTTCTTTGTACCGAGTTCTATTTTAGTTGAAAATAGGAGAGGTTTAAAAAAAAAAAAAAAAAAGACCACTATGAAATGACAGCCTGTTACACGGATGATTTTAACATCGATGCAGTGAAATAACTGCTTCTGCTTTTCAAACACTTCATTCTGTGATGTTCCATTGGCTAACATTTTTCTAAATTACAGATTTAACTCTGACCAATAGTCCATGCTACGTTATTCATGTGGTTACAGACTGAACGTATGTTATATTTGAGGAGATGAATCAAAAGCTAACTTCACACTCTCTATAATCAATTATTAAATAAAACAGGTATAAATAAGGCCTAAAATATGTATATACCTTAGAACGCTATGGGCTACAGGATAGAATTCAATAAAATATTTTTAGTTTATCATCGGTCCTTTCCTTTTCATTACGACTACTCAAAAGATTACTTGAATAAAACAATATTCTACTTTAATTATTCTATCAAGATTTTTAGAAGCTCTATTTGACTTTAGAGTTATCAGCAAAGACGAGAAAAAAATTGTTTTTTTCAACAGAGATTTTTGCTGTAGGGCATGTGTGCTCTCCAGAGAGACAGAAAGTAAGAAATCACCCCCCAAGGGAAATGGCCATGCTGCAATCCCTTCTCCTTCATTCTCCTCTCAGGATTTTGGGCATGCATATACATGCACCCAGGATTGCCTTTTTTTTTTTTTAAAGAGATTTTTCCTATCGGGTGGATGAACTCACCCGAGGGTATCGGGTGCATGCACTCACCAGAGGGACAGAGAAAGACAGAGAACAGAAAGCAAGAAGTCACCTCCCAGGGGGATAGCCATGCCTCAATCCCTTCTCCTCCATTTTCCTCTCAGGATACTGGGCATGCATACACATAAACCTAGTGTGTTTCAAGCCACCATGTCCAGTACTCAAACTGCAGTCGGCCATGTGGAAGTCCAGCAAAATAACCATTACACCATCTGCTGGTCCCTGAGTTGTAAGATAACGGGTCTGGGATTCAAACCATGGTCGACTATGTGGGAGTCCAGCGATGTAACCATTATACCATCTGCTGGTCCCAAAGATGTGTTTAAAAAAAAAAAGACTACTCCCAACCCCTCCATTCCATGAACAAAAAGGAAATGACATCAGAAGTAATTCCTAGAAAAGAATTCTAAAAGGAAAATCAGTGCTTCAATATAACATTAGAAGCCAACTTACAAACAGAAAGCAGCAGCAATATTTGCACAAGCTGGACCATACAGCGCTCACTAATCACATGCACTTATAAAAATAAATACACGGAAAAACTTAAATAAGTGACTTATATGAACACATAACCAGATTATTTTCATAGATCAATTATAGGTAATATTTCCAAAGCCATCACTAGTGTCAAAGAATCTCTAAAATCATTGCTCTCTAGGAAGCAGACTTTTCGCTTAGATTACAAATTAAGTGAATACTTTTAAATTTTTATAAAGAATTGCTTATTTAATTTTATTTACTATTTTTAATTTGACCAGAGAGAGAGAGTGAAAGAAAGCAAACTGCCAGGTCCAGGAATCGAACCTCAGTCAGCCATATGGGGTCTAGCATCTTAACCACCAAGCCACCTGCCAGCCCTGGGAACACTTTTTAAAATCCAAAAGAAAACATGAAAGTCATGTCAACAAGAAAATGCTAAGGAGTCTCTACCTGTTGTGTAAGAATATTTTTTATTAGTAGCCTTCCAATCTTTCAATAAAGCTATCAGAAGAGAGAAAAAATACTTCAATGGTGCTCTTTTAACTAAGACTATCTTATAAGTTTTATCACAGTCACAGGGTGAAAAATCCTATTTTCTTCAGAATGTACTATCATCTCACCTAGACTGAGGTACTTAAATGGAAAGAAATGATCAGAACCAAGAATCAGATTGGATAATGTAGTTAAACTCACTTACCCAATTACTTTGTAAGCTGATAACATGAGAGGTGTCTGTCCGTTGACATCTGTCATATTCACACTCTGTTCAAAAAGAATCAACCAGCAGAACTGTAAACACAGTCAAAATTCTTTCTGCTGTTCATAGAGAAGAAATGCCCTTTAATGCATTCGGTACTACCACTGTCTGCAAAAAGGCTCAAATATCATCTGAATAAAAGGATATTCGCTTCATGTCCTTAGGGTAAAAATTCATGAAGTTCCACAAAATTTTTTTAAAAGGGAAAATCTATATAATGGAAAGTACTGATGTGAACAGAGGCTAGCTAAGTGACAGAGTGAAATGTAGAGAGCCACCATGAAATGCAAGAGACAGCAGAGAGCTTGGAAGTGACCTTGTTTAGACTACAACTGCTTGTTTTTGTTTTTTAAAGGTTTTTGCCATAGGGCACGTGTGCTCACCAGAGAGACAGAGAGACACAGTGAGAGGGAAAGCGAGAAATCACCCCCGGGAAGATGGCCACTTTGCACTCCCCTCTCCTCCACTCTATTCCTAGGATTTTCAGCACATATGTAAACACACCTAGTTTAAGTTTCAAGACACTGGATCTGGGATTCAAATCCCAATAGGCCATGTGGGAGTCCAGTGCCTTAACCACTACACCACCTGCTGGCCCCTGAAACTGACATATTAATTCTATTATCATTTTGTACCCAAAGTCATCCAGTCTCTACTTAAATACTCCCACTAATAATGAGCTCCTATCTACTGAGACGACATGTATTTTTGAAGTTAGCACACTAAGTTTGAACTGGTAACACAAGAAACATTTATTTTCTGTAATGAGAGGGCAAAAGGAAATCCTATGTCCATGAAGATATGCTCCTTTTAACAGAACAGGTTCATGTTTGAGGCATCTAGTAACAGTTCCGACTGAAGCCGAAGAGAGTTTAGTTCCTGAAGATTCTTACGGGCTTGGGAGGAACAGAACTTGGGAAGCAGAAAGGACCCCTCCTCATACATCTTTCCAAAATGAAACCCAGGAGGTTGCAATTATTTTCCTTCAATTGGCTAAGTCTGAGAGAAAGTGCTTATTTAAACGCAGTACAATCATTCCAGCAGCATCTGTGCAAACATGTTTCCACGCCTGTCACCACGCTAGCCAGCTAATACATAAACTACTCTGCTCCCAGAAAGCATACCGTAGGCTGACAGTGAAACTCCCACTGCCAATAACCTATAATTTAACCTGTGCCTCTTGAGGCAAGTCATTTTTCATGGAATTACTCTCGAGAACAATGAGAAGCGTACATTCAAATTGGCCTCCCATTTGGGCTCAAGTAATGAAAGCAAATGATGGGTTAATTTAGTGATCCGACTACCGCTTCGACATTCAACTGAAAGAAAAATACAGGCTTTGAAGTCATGTTTTTGAAAACCTCTGCAAATTACGGGGCATGTAAGAAAAACTATTACAGGCTTACAAGTTTCAGAAACACCTATTACACGTTACTGAGCTAAAAGACCTGTCCTTTTGCCCCCAATGAAGCTGGAAAAGCAGTATTTGATGGCTAGACTTCGTGAAGCTAATATTTGAATATATGGATATCCATTAGCTTCCACTTCGAAAATGAGAGCAGGCTACTACTAATAATCTCCCCAATATCTTCCGATTACATAGCTGGAATGTAACACAGTTCAAAACACACCTGTCCCTTGGAGATGAGATACGCTATAATAGGCATGTGCTGAAATAACACGGCCAGGTGGATGCTGCTGAATCCCTCTCCGTCAATGAGAGTGGGGTCTGCACCATGCTGGAGTAACAATATGACCATAGGTAAATGTCCTTGCCTGTAAACAGAAAATAAAACATTATTCTGTAGCATGCAGCTAAAAAAAAAAAAAAATCAGAAAGAAACTAATATCCCTAAGACATGAGCAATTTTGGTTACATACAAAGAACATTTCTTTTAAAAGAAAAAGTTCTGTTTTCATTTCTTCCATAAGAGAGAAACGCAGGGACGGCACACTCAGCAGAGTCCTGATTTCACAATCCACAACTAGCTTTGGCCAGTCCCAGATCCTGGCATGTGTGTGTGCCCACCATACTCAGAGAAGCCTCCAGGCATGAATCCAGAACTTTCCCATTTGGATTGACCTTGCAGATCATCGTAGGTTGCCACTGTACCACTATATGCCCATAAAGAACATTTAATAGTAAGATACTGGAGGTTACCCACATATATTTCACTTGGATGCTCCAACCACAAGTAAATGGATGATGTCTCTTGAGTAAAGTGAGGAACGTGATAAACTTGATAATCTCCCAATCTGCCTTAAACTTTCTGTTGTTAACATGTGTGAACACTTTTATATGACTAATTCTAATAATATGCATAAAAATACATATCAAAATATACAAAAAAATGTTGTGACTTTTTATGACTTTTTTTTTTTTGGGGGGGGGAGGGTAGAGGTTTTTGCTATAAGGTGCGTGCACTCGCCAGAAAGACAGAGAAAGACAGAGATACAGAAAGTGAGAAATCACCCCCCAGGGGGATAGCTATGCCACAATCCCTTCTCCTCCATTCTCCTCTCAGGATCTTGGGCACACATGCACACACGTCCGGCGTGAGTTTAAGCCACCGGGTCTGGGGCTCGAACCACGGTTGACTACATGGGAGTTCAGCGACATAGCCATTACGCCAACTGCTGGTCCCAGTGACTTTTTATGACTTTAAGACAACCCAATAAACTCTTTGAAACTGGCCAGCTGGTGGTGTGGTGGTTAAGACAGCTGGATCTCACATGGCTGACTATGCAATTTGAGTCTTGGACCCAGTGGTTTGAAAATACTCTGGGTAAATGCACACGCATGTCCAAAACCCAAAGAGAGAACACAGAAGGGACTGCAGCGTAAGAGGGGTGCTTTCTCACTTTCCTTTTCTTGCTCTCTCTGTCTCTCTCCAGAAAGTGTGCATACTCTCTAGCAAATTAAAAAAAGGTAAAAATTACTTAGACTTCACTGTTGCTATCTTGTTTGTTTTTAGAGAGATTTTTTCCTATAGGGCACGTGCACTCTCTGGAGAGACAGGAAACAAAGAGACAGAAAGCAAGAAATCAGCCCCCACCTAAGGGGGATGGCCAAATTGCAATCCCTTCTCCACCATTCTCCTCTCGGAATTTTGGGAGCACATGCACATGCACCCAGCCTGAGTTTTAAGTCACCAGGTCCGGGACTCAAACCATGGTCAACTACATAGGAATCCAGTGACATAACCATTATGCCATCTGCTGGTCCCCACTGTTGCTATTTTAAAAGCAAAAATTGGGCCAGCCTGTGGCCTGGTAGTTAAGGTGGTTGGGGCCCACATAGTTGACCATATGGTACAAGCACCAGATCCAGCAGCTTGAGAAACATGCCAGGCGCATGTGTACATGTGCTCAAAATCCTGAAAGGAGGGAGAAGTGGAGAAGGGTTTCTAGAATGACCAGGCCCCACTGGGAGGTGCTTTCTCACTTTCTTTTTCTCTGTCTCTCTTCAATAAGCACACATGCCCTCCGGCAAATTAAGTGGGAAAAAAACTAACCATGAATCAGATATGTAGAAATAATTCAGAAACTGTGGGTGTTCTGTGATAATATTAATAATTACATATTCTCCTATTTGAATATGGCTTATTTCACATGTGAGGTATTATACCACAGTAGCTTGAAGGGGATGAGTTATCCCTAGAGTCTTCAAAATTCTTGGTTATGAAGAGAAGACTTAACTCCTTGCCTATACAATTATTCACTTCAGTTTCATGTTCACGTTAATTCTACCAACCTGAGAGGGGAGGTAAAATTTAAAAAGAGGCTGTTAAGTATCAAGACTCATTAATGTTATTTTAAATTTTTATTTATTAATTTCTCATGAGTGAGAGTGAGAAGGGAGGGAGGAGCACTTTAAAAAAAAAAAAAAAAAAAAGAGATTTCTGTTGTAAGGCACATGGGCTTACCAGAGAGACAGAAACAGAAAGCGAGAAATTCCCTTCTGGGGGGATGGCCAAGATACAATCCCTACTCCTCCATTCTCCTCTGAGATTTTGGGTATGCACACACACTTGCCCGGCATGAGTTTTAAGCTGCTGAGTCTAGGACTCGAACCACAGTCAACCACATGGCAGTCCAGTGACAAAACCATTACGCCATTTGCTGTTCCTAGGGAGGGGCACTCTTAACAGGGTCTTCATGCCATGATCTTTTCCCCTGGCCTGTAGCAAGCCAGGATCACAAATAGGGTACAGATATGTTCAGTAAGACCCAGGACACAACTCCAGAACCTCCCCCTATGACCTCCAGCATCATGAAGCAACATCCCTACTGCCTGAGCCTCTGTAGCCAGGCTTACCAAGACATTCATTTCAGCTTCAGATGGTCAAAACACAGCAGAAGAAAGAGGACAATGACTGTACAAGCTAACCTACTCAAATTCTCGTTACTTCTGCAACAACTTCAGAAAGAATTGACCTATTTCATCATAGGAGATAAAAAGAAACTATAATATACACATTTTGGTTTGATAATCATAACAGAGCCCTAAATTAAATACCAAAACATCCATTCTGGAAACTCTTTAAAATAATAATTTCTTTTTAAATGAAAGGGAGAAAAATGGGTAAGAAAGCCTCCCAATCACCTGTAACTGTGATTTCCGATATGGTGGCCACTACACACGTTATCATTTAATTCCGGTGTTTAAGGAAACCTTACCTGATGGCCCAGTGAAGAGGAGTTGAATTTAAATCTCCACCCAGTTGATCTACGACAGCACCTTTTGAAATATAAAACCTGTTAAAAGCAGATACAAACAAAAATAAGATTTGAAATTTAAAATTCATATTGAGAAAGAAAACACAACTTTTTTTTTTCCTAGCAATAGATGTTTTGGAAGACAGAAATTACAGTAATCATCCTCCCTAAAACACCCAGATCTATAGAAGTCTGAAATGGACATAAGCAATATGACAAATTCACAATGAAAAGTTCTTAGCCTATAAGTAACTACTCCTGCTTAACTAGCACTGCATTATAACTTAGACGGTAAACATGAGGACTGCTCTCCACATAGCCTAGCACAGTTTACATTCAAATGTTTAGGATCAAATATTCTATATCACTTGGAAGAGAAAGGTAAAATTATTTCACTTTTTAACAGTTCAAAATTAGAATTACCATGGGAATGAACTGTAAAAGTAGTGAAAAATTGGGAACCAGCAGTTAGCGTAATGGCTATGTTGCCGGACTCCCACGTAGTCGATCGCCGTTCACGTCCCGGACCTGGTGACTTAAAACTCACGCCGGGTGCGTGTGTGTGCGTGCCCAAGATCCCAAGAGGAGAATGGAGAAGGGATTGCGGCGTGACCATCCCCCCAGGGGGGTGATTTCTCGCTTTCTGTCTCTATGTCTCTCTCTGTCTGTCTGGCGAGCACACGCGCCCTATAGCGAAAAAAAAAAAGTAGTGAAAAATTAACTTTAAATCTTTGCAGTCAAGTTAGACTTTATAAGGTAATAAGACAAATTTTCTTCTATGGTTTATAGGAATTAGTCTCATTATTTCAAAGCTGTATTGCAAGCATCATCTTAACAATATTCAAGTTTATTTCCACCAAAAAAGAGTCTGACTATGAATCTAGGATGCATTACATTTTAAATTTTAGTAAATTTTCATTTTCTTTAAGTATGAGAATTTTAAATAGTATTTTATATTTTATATATTACATATAATTATATATAATTACATATTAATATACAATTATATTACATATAATTATATATTTTATATTATATTTTATATAATATATACTTTATATATATTATAATACTATATATATATATAAAAAATACAAAACTTATACACATTCACACACACACACATTTTTCATAGTAAGGTATAAAAGGGTAGTCAGAAGTGCTTTATCAAAGTGAAATACAATAATCCAGTATATGCTCATTTAAAATTCTATTCCATATTTTTTTTAAAAAAAAGTTGAAATTCTCCATCTATCTAGTCTTCCTGACATTACAATATAAAGTATTATATCAATGTTTCTTCTAAACTAGATGAAACTTTCTGTTCTGTTCTGAGAAAGTTTGTTACATCATGCTTTTCCTTTTCAAGAAAAGGTTTACTTTCTAAACCTTACGATGGGCCCCCTTAGCTTTATCTCTTAATTTTCCTTTTTGGCCCAATGAGGGTTCCTGATCAGATGATCCCTGCGGTCTCTTCAACGGGACCATCGCCACTGTGTGAGACAGCTTCAGTTATTTATGTACAACAGAGGATTACAGATGGTTCAATACTCATACTTGAATAATGAACACATGAAGGAGAGGTCTAGAATTACACACACAACGAACACACATCCATCCCATCTTACTTTACAAGGTCCAGCCTGTTGTTAATAGCAGCCCAGTGAAGAAGTGACACATTTTCTTTATCTGGTTGCCTGACATCATATCCTGCTTCTACCAACTCTTTACATCGTTCGAAAATCCCGTATCTTAAAAAAGAAAGAAAAAGACATCAATGATACCATTAAAATCATTTCAAATACCAAAACTTCTTCCTTTTCCCATGTCTGTTCTTTATGCAAACTGTTCAGTCAACACAAAAGTACAATAATTAATAGAGACATGCACAAAAAGGACACAGTGTAAAGCTCAACAGCAAAATTAAAAATTAAACCTGGTTTACTTCCTGATCAGATTAATCCAGCTGTGGCTGAACTTTTCTTACATAAATTTGAACACTAACATTTGCCCTCCTTCAACAAGTTTCATCTGCTCCTTCACTGTGTGCCAGGAATGCATGATGCCAATTCTCGGTTATAACATTATCTCTGAATCAAACTGAGTCCATGCACTAACTGCAAGGTAAAGGAAGAAGACTAAAAGCAAACTCGGGATGGGATAAATTCAGCACATGATATGAGCATGATATAATTAGAGCAGAGGAATGAAGGAATGGTTAGCTCTTCCCGAAGGAGGTAAAATATAACATGAAGCTGTATTTTATAGGCTGATGAAAGAAAGGGAGGATAATTCAGGCACTGGGAATAACAGGTACAACCAAACCCAGAGATATAAAACTAAGTGGATCAGGACCAGCAATTGGTATAATGGTTATGTTGCTGGACTCCCACGTAGTCAACTGCGGTTCAAGTCCTGGACCCAGTGGCTTAAACTCACGCCTGGAGCATGTGCATGCATGCCCAAGATCCCAAGTGGAGGATGCAGGAGAAGGGATTGCAGTGTGGCCATCCCCCCGCCCCGGTGGGGGGGGGGATTTCTTGTTTTCTGTCTCTCTGTCTTTCTGGTGAGCGCACGTGCCCTGTAACAAAAACCTCTCAAAAAAAAAAAAAGAAAGAAAGAAAAAGAAAAGAAGAAAACAAAACTAAGTGGCTGTTCAGAGGAATATAAACAATTGCTTAAAGTATTGCTGAAGCATAAGGTATAAGAGAAGAAATGGCAAGAGATGAAGCTATTAGAGACAGGCAAAGAGGACCCAGGCTGTCTGTGCCACTTCGTGAAGCTCGGCCTTTACCTATAGCTCAGTGGAAAACCAATGAAGAGTTGGAAAGAGGAAATCACTCAGACTCTGAGTCTTAAGAGAAATCACAGTAATGGCTGTATGGAAGTTGCTTAGAAAAGGGTAAAAAGAGGGACCAGCAGTTAGCGTAATGGCTATGTCGCTGGACTCCCACATAGTCGACCACGGTTCGCGTCCCGAACCAGGTGGCTTAAAACTCACACTGGGTGCGTGTGCGTGCGTGCGTGCGTGCCCAAGATCCTGAGAGGAGAACGGAGGAGAACGGATTGCGGCGTGGCCATCCCCCCTGGGGGATGATTTCTCGCTTTCTGTCTCTGTGTCTTTGTCCGGCGAGCGCACGCACCCTATAGCAAAAACCTCTCAAAAATAAAAAGAAAAGGGTAAAGAGAGGCACACTGAGAGACCAGTTAAAGGCTACTGCAATAAATAAAGGTGAGAGGCAAGAAGAATGGAAAAGGAATGGTGAACTTGAGTATTTAACTGACTATGAGAGTGAGAAATACCTCTTCTTAATGCTACACTAATTTTAAAAACCATCAATGAGCCATATTTCTTTCCAGCAGAAACCATTAAGTCCCAACAGGTCATTTAGCACTTTCTTTGAAACGTATTTCCATTCATAAGCACCTGAGAGTTTCAACAGGCCCTCAAAGATCACGAATGAAACCGAATGTCAGAAATGTCTGTTTCTCATTCTCTTGAATTAATTTCGACCTTACTAAGATATGTGTGTGTGTGTGCGTGTGTGCATGTGCATGCACGTGTACCTGTGAGTGCGTTTAGTATTTTCAAAAGACAGTGAGAGCTGTTGACAGTCTAAGTGGAAATAAAATAATATTTAATAATAGAATAATTCATTAATAAAATAATGAATTTTGGGTCATGACACATACATATATTTATAGTCGCCATGTCAAGCTTATCATTTTACTAGAAAAGAAACTCCACTTATCTAAAAAACAGAGTGCACATTAATTAAGACTTAGTGGCTTAGAAAACATGCACACATATATACACATGCACACAGCCTAGCTCTCCTTTGTCCTTCCTAAATTCTTCCTACAGATTTCCCACAACCACTTGAGAAGGTCTAAGACCTGAAGGGAATTTTAGAAGAGTTCTAAAATTGTGAGTTGTTTTGTTTTTTTTTTTTTCCTTTCTTTTAGTTTTGCTATAGGGTGTGTACGCTTTCCAGGAGGGAAAATGAGAAATCACCTCCCAAGGGGATGACCATGCTGCAATCCCTTCTCCTCCAGTCTTCTCTAGAGATTTCAGGCACACTGCACACACACCCAGCATGATTTTTCAATCCACTGGGTCCAGGATTAAAACCACACAGCCAGCTATGTGGGATCTAGTACCTTAACCTGCATACCACCTGTTGGCCTCCGAAAATGTGAGTTTTTACTGAGCGTCCCTGTGAATACAATCTAATTACTCACATGTATAACAACAGAGTTTTATTGATAGCAGGTAAACATTTAATATTTCCACCTTAATTAAAGCAAATATTTACCTTACATTTTCACCTTTATAGAAAAATATTAACATAAGCAATATCAAGTAATATTCACCTAAAACAATAGTTCTTGGTACCTCTAAAATGCATATAAATTAATGATGAGAATATTCAAATAACTGTCAACCTACTTTTTAAAAGCATTAGTTATCTTATTATCATTTTTAAAAAATAATTATTTTATTTAACTTTATTTATTTTACTTTGACCAGAG